ATTCACAGACTAACTCTGCTTTGATTTCTTATTAATCTGTTTCAGAAACATGCAGTTTCTATCAAAGCGTATAATTTGCTGCTTATTCAATTTTTAAAAGTTTTAAACTTTTCCGGAAAGGCATACGCAAAATGTGCTAGCTGCCCTGTACAAGTCACTATTTCAGCGTTATGCTGCGTCTCTGGGACATATCCAAGGGCCTGTCGTAATTCCCATTGCTAATTTCTGAGTGGTGATTCACCAGTAGTATCTTTGACGCTACGGTATGAAGTAGTGTACTTGAAAGCAATGCTACTGAAGTGTATGTGTGTACTGTGAAGTATTCTTTAAAATTTTTTCTTAATATTCCCTGTCCAGTGATAAGCAAGACTTTTTGGGGGTATCCATTCTAAGCTTGTAGTATTGGGATATTACTCTAGGCTAGTAATTGACTTCTTACCCCAAGTTTGGTGTACTTTAAAAAGCTGGCATTTGAGGGTATTGAAATCTCACAGAAACCAACCAGAAATAAAGGTCTTTAAATAAATAAGACATGAGTAAATAATAGAGTGATATTCCCTAAAGATGTATTAAAAATGCGTTAGCACTAAGATCTGGAAGATTCATATTTCTTTGTGTTGCTCTGTTGTTAGTATTTGACTAGTCATTTTTACACTTTGGTTTTACTCTAGCTTTTTAACTAATTACATTTTATACCTTTCGACAATATTTGAGTCTAATTTTCTAATCTGTATGTCCCTCTAATGCCTATAAAAAGAATATATTTTACCGTAGCAGCAATGTACCACCCTGGCCCTTCATGCTCAAGGCTTGTAGATTGCATAAAGTAAGACAAGTTTTGAGTATAGAACCAGCCAAAACCACAAATTCTGATACAGACCTACTTGACTCTTCTGAATCATCACAAGCTCTGGGCAGCCAGTCAGCCAAGAGCTGGTTTTCTCTTCACTGTTGTGTAAACACAAGATGTTTCCTTGGGCAAAATATCGTTAAGAAAAAAAGACATATTTGTTTGATTTTTCTGTTTTTTCAAATGTCATATATTGCATGAAAAATGATTAATATATAAAGCTACCAACTGGGGAAATCTGTAAATCTTTCTCTTGCACTTTCCTTGTTAACTTAGTTTTGAAAGTAAAGTGGGTTTAGGATAGCCTGACTTTTTATTCGGTTTTATAAATGATATTGTTATGGATCAAACCACTGAGAAATCTTTCATGTATTGTAGGAAAGTTAGCTTTGGAAATTGCCATTTCATTTTAAGTAATTAGAAAAAAAGAATTATTTCGTGGTTTTACCCTGATGCGATTTAAACTGTTAACATAATTTAAAATGAAAGTTCTACAACTGATTAGTGCATTTTCAGAGAGAACTTTTTTATACCTCTGCCTATCGATCGATGTATATGTATGTACGTATAGATATGTATATAGATAAAGTGTGGGGTTTGTGTGTGTGTGTGTGTATAATATATGAAGTAGGTAAATAAATTACATGTGGTTATAATCATTAAAATACTAGAGATGTATAAACTGTGATTAGCACTAGAAACTCTTAAAAGACTATTTCCAAGACATGACATCTCTTTGCTTCTGGCAAGTCCTCTCAAGTACCTTACCTTTTTCAGGAAATTGTTCTTCAAAGTGATTTAATGAGAGGCAGTTATCTTGCTGAGCTCTGGGATCCTCAAGGACTTATTCCTCTTCTCTTCCTGATCATCTTTGCCACAGACCTTTGCTATGTCCTACGGACGTAGGTCTGGCTGAGCACCAGCGTCAGGCACTGTGTAGTCGCTTCTTTTTGGCCTTTCAACACGGTATTGGCTCCCACTGTGGAAATTCAGCATTGATTGGCAGGCCTCAGTCTGCCAGTAGATTTATCTCTGTGACTCTTCACCCCTAATGTATTGAAGTGGATGGCAGGTAAGAAGATTAGAGAGATCTACAGTATAATAGAAATATGAGTGGGAGTGTAGGATATGGTTACTTTTTTGGACTCTATTTGGAAGTGTCAGTTAAAGACAGAAGTTAGTGGTGGAGTCAGGTATTTGTTTGATGCAGCTGGCTTTATTTTCCAAAAGAAACGTCTGTCTGAACAAAGTTTGTTAGCCTTTTAATCAGAGCTTTGCTCCGACTGATGAGGTTTGTAATTCTACAGGCTTTAGCTCCCTCATGGTTTCTCATCCAAATTTGTGTGCTCAAGTTTGTGCCATAGCCTTTACCACAGCAGATGCCAGGTCAATTGCTAGTGATTTCCTTGCTCATAGAATTCTTTTTTGTGAGCAGCTTCGCATGTGTCTAGATTTGGAACATGACGGTTTTATTTATTTTAGCTATCACGTTCCATTAATGAATATAATAGCTCTTTAAAGCTTAGGCCAGTGTTTAATCCCATGCTTCCAAGGGATCTAACTAAACCTAAAATAATAAGCTTGCCATTCTCAAAATTTCTTCTCTTGCTATACTGACCTTCTCTTGGCCTCCCATGCACATACGTCCCATCAGGAAAACACTCTGTTTGGTACAAGGGCTGAAACAGTGCCTGGACTGCACGTGGACTCTGTCGTATGAAAATACTGATATACTCTGCATAGCCTTCCTTTTTGCATGTTTGTGTTGTTATTTTGCTTAAGGAGTCTTAATAGGAAATTTGGACTATTCCCAATGGTGTGATACTGATTTGGTTGTAACACAGTTGCTCTTATTTCTTAGGGAGGGGATGGGTAGGTTTTTTATTTCTTTTGTTTGTTTGTCTGTTTTTAAGGGAAGTATAAATAACAGTCACACCAAGTTGTTGCATTTTTCACCTGCAAGTGTAGCGTATTATGACTTTGAGAAGAAAGATGTCTGCAGTAAACAGAAAACTGGCTTTCAAAAGTACTGTATTTTTATACAGTAACCTGGCTGGCGTGTTAGGGTAACTTGACTGAGTGTTTTAGGATGAAAGTAGTTATTGCTTGGGTAGTTAACTTGTTTAAATATTTGAAACGAATGGACTAAAACTGCAGGCGTTTAATTAAAAGTCAGACTAAGAATATGACAAGAAAAGCAAATTATTCTAGGGACTGTAGGCAACAGTTTTGTTTTTAATTTAAGTTCCTTTTTAATTATTACTTAAATCTTGAACTAGTAACTGAATATATGTGTTTGCATTCTGTTTTTTTAAGATAGTCAGAGGCTTTTGGTTTTCAAAGATTCAAACTAGTGAATGCTTTTTCTTGAAAATCACCATATATTGTCTGATTATGGTATTTGTTAACATAGTGCTTGAAGTATTCATTCTGCTGAAATCTATGATTAATTGAGGCTTTTTTCCTCACTTTATTTACAGCTTTAAGATGTAATGCTGCTGAGAAAATAATTTTATGACCTTAAGAATATGGATTAAGATAATAGAAGTCCAGTGACTGGAGACTCCTGTTATGCTAATTAAAAGGTCGATCGGAGGTTCTGCCTAGGGAAAAAAGTTTAGTAATGTTAATTAAATAAGTTTAGATGATGTCTGATTGTGGTTTTAGTACTTGTTTAGTCATGATTCAGCATGAAGGATGAAGAAAGAGAGTTCCATGCATGTATGTGTGCATACATGTAGGAGGTAGTAGGAAATGATTTCAGCATGCTTCTGTGGCATAAGAAAAGCAGATCATATTTAAAATAACCATAGAATGAGCTGTACGTACAGTCATATGGAGTCATTGTTTCTCTCAGCTAGTGGAAAGGACAATGCTGAGGGTAGAGAATTTTGAAGAGCAGATGAGAACACATACAATACCAGCTCTACAACAGTTAAAATCCCCCCTCTCATCCCCCAAAATCAAAGAAAGCCATAAAAGATACTACCTAAAAGATGACTACTTTTTCTCTTTTTTTTCCTCCCCCTTTAATAGTGCGACTTCATGACAGCATATCAGAAGAAGGATTCCATTACTTAGTCTTTGACTTGTAAGTATGTGTTTTGCGTTTGTATCATGTTGGGGATGTGGTATTCCAAACTTTTAGAGGTAAATGCAACTTTTAGTTGTGTTCACAAGATAAACGCATGGTTTTGGTGCAGTGAGTTGGACAAATTGTAAATAGAGCTAGAAGGACAGACATAGTTGATCATTTCCATGGGTAAGAACTGATTTGTAAGTATCAATTTAAGAATTCTACATTAAGACTTTTGAATAAGTAGGGCTACCGTTGAAGTGGATTTAGATATAAAATATAGGCATGTAAGTAAAAGCTGTGTGATATCTGCCAAAGTAAATGTGTGACTCATAAAAAGTAATTCACTGCAAGCTAGTTGTCCGGTGAAGGAAACATAAGTAAATATGTAGAGGAGTTGTTTCTTCACAGAAAATCTCCATTACTGGATTGAAAGATTTTCCTCGAGAGAAAAAGACTATTGGAATATGTTATTCCTGATTTATGTTTTACTGATACATAGAATTAGTTTAATTTTGACACCAGTCAGAATGTAAAATGGTCAGCATATGGAGAGGAAGATTCCTTCTTATTTCTCATTTTGTTTCAGGAATTTGTGTCCTGTGAGCTGTTCATATAGTGTATGTGTAAATGTATGTGTACGAGAGAGAGAGTGAGAGAGAGAGAGAAAATGTGTTTTACTGAGTTGGATCTTGTATCTTTTAGATAATGTTGTTTAGTAAAAGAAGAGGTGCTCGGCAGCATGAACTATGTGTAACAGGCACTTAACTTGAAAAATAATTAAAGCACTGAAGTTCTTCATTCTTCCCTGGGACAGGCAAAATTTTCCATTCACGTGAAAAGTTATTGCTTTTGGTTCTGAGTATGGGCAAACCATAAATGGTTTTTTTCTTGAAAAAATGACTTATTTAATTAAAAACAGTCTGTTTTAGCAGATTTCCAGGGCTGTTTATGGATGTGACAAATCTCTTCTCCCTCCCCCGCATGCTTTTTTAGGCCCAACATGATTTTGTTTGTTAAAATGAGAATATATTATTTCTCCTAGAAATGTGAAATAGTTTACTTCCAGGCATGCAAACTGAAATATTTACATTCAGCGTAGGTAAATGGTAAGAGATTGGAGCCTGGGTCTTCCACAAACGGTCGAGTGCTTTCACCTTCAGATTACATTTTGTTTTAAGTTCCGGCTTAGATTTAATTAAAGAAATCTGTGAAGACCTCTTTGAGACTAGACTTGAGACTAGCAATACAGAAATATTAAATAGGTGGTCTGTCTGCAGTAAAGGATTTCAGGGTTCAGTACTTTGATCTGAACTGGAGACAACAGGAACTTGTGTCTGATTTTTATATATCCCAGGTAAGTGCTCTGACTGTTGGGTTAGAAATACTCTAGGGCATAGCATGCATACTTGCTCCCTGTATGCACTGTTTTTTGTTTAGTTTTTTTTTTTTTTAACTTAAGGATACAAAGCATATCTTTCTATGTGGAATTGGAAAAAATGTTCTTAATCCTGAATATTCCCAAGATGGATGTGGAATTCTTAGTTTTAGTGACAATATCCCTGATAAAGGCTGAGAGCATTTCACTTTCTGCTGTACTGTGTACTGTTAGAAACTATGGCCTACTGTAATTGCACTTTTTGCCTTAAATTGTATACATAATGCCAGACATATCATGAGAGATTATGGTTGCAGTGTGGGCTAGAAGGCATTTAAGCAACATCAAAGTCATAGATATCAGTATCTGTATCTTGATTGTAAGAGAACAAATAGAAGGCTGTATTCTGCTGAGTGTTAACATAAAAGTAATATATAACCGAAAGATACAGTCTTGCCAAAAAAAATAGATTCTGTGCCAAGCATTCTGCATTGGACTGGAACTTCCTCTATTTCACTGTCATTCCCATTCATAACAAACTCGTACATATGCCCTTTGCCCCATACTCGTGCCTGGACTCGTACATATGCCCTTTGCCTGAAGCTTCTTCAAAAAAAGGCGGCTTCAACATATATGGGCAGCTTTTTATGTCTTGATCATGAGGTTTTAGCTTTTTGTCAGAATGATTTATTTTGCAAAAGAGAGCAAGTCTTAAGTGGTAGAGGTGGTAACTGTGCTGAGGGATAATTATCTTTGAGAAAGTGATACGTTCTTGTAGAGGTTTTGCCTAGTTATTAGGGGTGTCTGTTTAGTGTTAATTTTGCATACAGACTAAGAAATGATTGCTTTAATCACTAATACTGATTAATTTTCACTAATATTGATCAGTGAAACTTCATCTTGTACTGAATTTGTATATGCTTCAGTGGCTTATTTAAATGTACTTGAAAGATCTGTCACAAAAAAGGCACCATATGTACTATTTTAATATGAAGGCCAAGTACATGCTTTTACTTAATTACTTTCAGCTGGAGCTTGACTGTGCTGTAACAGTGTCATTCCACCCACATACACCATCATGTCTTTATCTTAATGATTTCTTTCAGACTGTGTGGTATTCAGTACTACTGTTT